CATTCTCGAAGTAGCTCTGGATTCTATCGATTGTATCATCTGTCAGACGATTCTTTCCTCATCGCTTTCCCGTCTTCGAGATCCTCACCTCGAAAAGATGCTTTCAGTTCTCTAAGTCGAGTCCCCATCCACTTCTGAATGTGACCGAGTCATCCCAGTTTTTCGAGCTCTACTACGCTTCTGTACGGTTTATCGGATGTGACGGCATGGAAAGCCTTGGAGTCGCCGTCCCCAAGGTACTTAGCAAGGGTCGATACCGGACATGGAGCTCCGCAAGGTGAGAATCTTACCAAGGGAGCGCCTGCGCTGCCAAGACCATTCATCAGCAGTCAAGGTGAATTCCGCTCCCTTCGTCTCGAGATCGGTCAAAATCTCTTTGAATCGATTATTCACTTCGCTACAAAAAAATGGGTATTTTTTCATGAGCTTTTACATGCTCTATCGAAGTATCCGCAAGTGGTGCATGTAAGTCTCCAACGCTCTCCATCCGTTCCGCGGACTCACTGGAATTTCTCGTCGGTGTAGCGTCGGGCCAGAGCGGCATTAATCGGTCCAAGTCGAGCGAGCCAGAAGAGTACGCCCATGATGCCCGAGCTGGCATGGTATGTTCAAGACGGTTATCATGCAGGCTACAAGCCAAGATTTGATCCCCTCTCTGTCAGCTCTTTCTCCCTGCCTGGAGTGCTTCCGAAGATGAGCCTTCAAGCCTGTCGTGCTCTGATTCGCCGATGTGATTTCGTCACCACAAAGTTTGCATTTCTGAATATCAACATCCGAAGTTGAATCGAAGGCATCCCAAATCGGGCCTGAAGTGTGATGGTTAATGGTATGGTAGAAAGAAAAGTCTACCGCATTCCATCTATTCACTCAAATCCTGATCGACGACCGATCTCACCTCGTTTTCTTGAACGGCGAGCTTGAGGTAGTCGCGGCGCGGAACCATTTGAAATCGATGATGGGGTCGGACTGCTCTCAGCCTGCGATGCACTTTCTTCACAATGAGCATCCCCTACAGAAAGTAGGTAGTTCTTTCTATTTCGCCGAATCCTCTTGGAGGCGATCTTAACAAGCAAGAAACGCTCAGAAATAGCGAACTCACTGCGGGGTCGTTTTGCCTTTCGTTGAGACATGGGAGAGCTGCACGTTCCCTGTTGCTGCTCAATACCTACGCTGGATAGGCCGATCAGTGAAAGACTCGACGGGCATCGAGGAGGACACACTGGCACTCGGAAGAACTCGAACGGAGTGATGGTTCGAGAGGTGATAAAGATTCCCGACAGAGATCCCGATCCCAGTCGCGTCGCGTGGCTCATATTCTTGAGTCGTTGTTGTCAGGCAGATCCTCTTGTCACATACTAGCGGAAGTACACTTCGGAAGCGACATCAAATACATTTGGAATTCGAAGCTGGGATGTTGCCCATCATGGGGTCGCTTGTACTTTCGAAGATCTAGATGAACATCTGTAGAGCTGGCTCTCATCTCGCGAACGCGACGATTCCTTTTGTTCGATCCGATGAATTCATGCATCCATTGAATTGAAGTCTAATTCGATTCTTCCATTCCTAAGCTAAATCATTTCGACTCTCAAGCTAAGGGGATATCTGGAAACGATATCTATCTTTTGCGGAGCGCACTTCTTGATCAGCGATCATTCAGGGGTCTGACCATTTGGCGAAATAATTCATTTCTTCATTTATTGGTCGATAGCACGAGACTTATGCGTATCGAGGGCTCCTTTTCAGGAAGAACTACCGTAGCTCCGTAGCAGTCACTACGAACGATTTAGCGTAGTTCCGTAGTGATCACTACGGAAGTACGATTCCTTTTGTCCCTTAGTCCCGCAGTACGGAAGTTCCCCGTAACTTCGTGCTACGAAAGTTAGCCGTAAACCGTACTACGGCCTACCAGTCTTGACAGGGAGTGGGAACACAACGCACCAACGCTTGCATCTGTCCCTTGGAAAAAGCGTGTATGGAATATAACTGGAACGGTGTCAGAACCACCCGATTAGTTCCATCCATGTAAATGGAGCGAGCCTCGATATGTATCCTCATCGAATCATGCGAGGCGAAAGCGAGGATCCCATCTGACGAGCCTGCGGATTTGGGGAGATCGCGCTCCCGAGACTGCGCTCGCCAGCACCTCATCGTAGACTCTCTTGCAAGATTTCTCAGGCTGCTGCAAGACTGCCATCTTCATAGCGAGCCTGGTATCTCACTTGAGGTGATCTTCTCGTTCTTCACCATGGTTGTAAGCCTCAGATTGACGTACCATTACCGGTTCGACGTCCTTCAGAAACATAGAGACGAATCGAATGAGTAAATCTACGCGAGTGAAATCCTCTCCGACGCTGAATACTAACGAATGGGAATGGAGAACCCTAACCTTTACGATCACAATCCTCACCGCACAACTCTCAATCTCCTTTCTGATGCATCGACAGAAGTGTTTCTCTTTTCTCTTCTTGTCAACATCGTATAAGAGGTCGTCGACTCGAGAGAATAGATATCTCCAAGCTGACGGAACTTCCTGAACGTCTGCGTCCATCTCTACTTCACTTGATGGGTCCGTATCGGAGCTCTTCTCAGGAAAAACTGAAGGGGAGACAGTTCACAAAATTCGATTGAGAAGTTCTTTTGGCTTCATTGCTGAGCTCTGACAGGCGTCTAGAACGCGGATATGTTTTGGTTCTGAAGACACGGTCGAAGTTCGGAACCGCGGCACTTCACCAGCGAACGTGACGTCCCTCCGCGGAGAACAACAAAGGAATCCCTTCCCTCGCTGCGTCTGCTTCCGATACGCGTCAGCGAATCTCCATACCGAATCACGCAGAGAAGTATACCTAGAACTCCGCATCCCAATGTCCTATTTTAGTCACATAGCCAGGATCACGGTTCGATGCTCTCCATCCGAAGGGGATCTTGCGTCCCGATCAGCTCCCTTTGGGGAAATAATGCCTGATTCCGGAGAGGATGATCCACGGAATAGCCGAACTCTATGATGCCAATCCAGTCTACCCATGAACCCCCTCCGCCCACTCAGCAGGACTGATTGCGAGAGAGTCCCAAAATCCGGCTGTCGGGTCAATGGGCTGTAACAATTGCAGTTCCTCGGGTCGCAAGACCTTACCCTGGAGGAAAGTCCCTATTCTTCTCATTTCCGCGGAGTTATCGCTGCGAAAACTTACAAACCACAAAAAAAGGCGGCCAAAGTTCCTTTTCAGTTTGCTCACCCATGGCTTCGCTCGTTCAGTTTGGGGTCCTTTGGGGCTTGCCTGATTTCTCTGAGAAAACATTCTACAAGCCTGTGTTCTCGGGGACTTTTCTGGATTGCCCATTTTGAGTTGCAAAGCGAGAGCTTCACTCCTGAGTGAATCCCCCTTGGCTCGCAATTCCGCAACCAAGAGACGCGTGACACGATTCGTTAATCTCCGATGGTGTTTTCCCGCTTCATACGCCTAATGAGACCGGAATGGACTGTTCCGATGTGATCCGACGAAACGCAGTCTGCTCTATCCTCGACTTGAGACCGATAAAGATCAGAATTTTCCCTTGCGCTCGCGATTTCTTCGCGAAATCGGGTCTCGCCCCTCAACCAGTTTCCTTTAATCACACCAAGAAATGCTGGGAGCTCACAAGTTCAACATCAGATAACTTCTGGACAACTTTCCATCTCCAGGGTACTTCCACCTGCGTCACCAAGAGCGTCAGCGGCCAACCCATTTCGCCCCGAGAAAGTCGCTTGCACGATGAGGTCTTATTCCACGACTCTGAGGCATCTCGGCGTCATGAAGTGGCGCTCGGCCGCATACTGGGAAGCGAAACTCGACGGCGTTGATACGGTGATTCCGATCAGGAGTGTTCTCCCATTGACTCGGTGGAGTTTTGAGACGACCACGTCTTCCCTCGACGTATTTCTCAGCCCATGCGATGGCCACACTCCATGGCAGAAATGAACTCGTCATCCGCGCCGCTGTCGCTCGTGAGTGTGAGCCCCCGTGAGGAACTTCCCGACTCGGGGTCAAATGGCTGGTGGAGCATTCCGTTGATGAAAACCCGGTTTCTCGTGATACCGACTTGATTTTGGTGGCACTTCCGATCAGTCATGACTCATGAGTTATGAGCTATAGCCGCAGTTTTATTGAAGCTTCGGCTCCAAAGTCGTGCTCTATGAGAATTGATCGAGCTTCCATAAAAGCTTCCATTTCGCATACTCGAGGCTGACGATTTATTCATTTATACTTAAATCTTATGCATGAATCACTTCCATTCGCGCCTCCTGAAACGTACTTAGAGCCTCTGTTCGCAAGATGTCGGAGGCGCGCCGTCGGAGGTCGGACTCTCTCGCTGGTTTTGCCTCATCAGCCTTCTTGTGTGTTCTCCTGAGGACTCCGATCCCTCATATCCTGACTGTTAGAAGAGAACATTTTTGATGTCGAGTTGATGACGCAAATCGATTCCTGGAGAGATCAGCGCGTGTCGATACATTACATGGAGGGAATAAATAAGTTCCACCTACCTCCGCGGTCAGCAGTAAGTTTCCCGACGGCCTACGTCTCCCTGCTCTGGGAATCCGTGTCGATGTGTTGGAATCCCTGTACTCGTCCTGCTAATCTATGCCGGACCCGCCACTATTTTCCCATGGGGCCAAACGCCGCGAAGACCTCTCCGACCGCCCGCTGTCCAGAACCGGCTGCAGAATGCGTTGATTCGTCAATGAGCTGTAAACAAAGAGGAGACGAAGATGCAGGGCTACATGCCGATAGTTGATCAAATGACGAAGGCTCGCTCGAACAATATTGAGCTCCGGGGCAGCCCTTTAGCTTGACGCTTCTCGAGTTCCCTGACCTGCGAGGCGAATTCCACGTGTGCGTGATTCCGCTCTCGACATTCCAAAAAGTGCTGCTGGAGCTTGAATACATGAAGATACAGTGAGGAACCGGTGTGTCTTCGGAGGCAGTGCAAAGTTTACTCAGTCGGTGGAACGAAACAGAGACAGCATGTCTAACTTCGAGCCCACATCGGTATGGAATGATTTCTCTCCGGCCATCGGTTCTGGTTTATCGATTTGTGCTCGGATCCTTCCCGCCGGCGCCGGTCCGGCAGCGCGGTCTGATCGAGAATTTTCGCGGTTTAATGACTTTACTGAGCTGGGCACGTGCTCGATGAAGGGCTGCGCAAGCGGCGCGGCAGCGCCGCTGTCCTGAGGGATACTTGGGGGACGACAAAAAAATTGTCGAAGGTCTCGTGGCATCTCTTCGAACGTGCTCAGATTTGAGGAGATATCAATCGAACGTCCCAATTGGGAGACGTTCCCCACAGCAGCTCCCGGACTAAAATCGGATCCTCGATGCACAAGCCCCAGAGAGAGGCCGGTTTAAGTTCCGTTCCGGAAATCGACGCTCTGGCTCGCCTTCTAAGCCGACGGGATCTCGTTCCAGAAAATCTATTTCTCATGGACCAGGAATATCAGTCTCGGCTCAGAGGGGACAGAAGTTCCTAAAGATCCGGTCAACCTGATAGCGACCTCCACCAGATTTGGCCTGATCTTCGCCGCGAGCGGATCAGGTTCGTGCAGCCCGCGGTCTGCGAATTTCCGATCCTGAAAGCGTGTAATTCGTGGCGATCCCGATACATACGTACATCGCCTCGAGATCTGTAATCTGCCCCGATATTATTCTCTAAGCATTCTGGAATATTACAGAGCTCAAGTGCACATCGATATCCGATGTCCAGAAAGAGCATTCGATCGACAAAATCCTTCCTGACTCCACGGATCATGTTTTTCTGAGAGTCCCAGCCGGAGGTGAGCTCAACGTCGCGTCGACGTCAGGGACAATATGCGAATGTCTCGAAGATTCGCCTCGAATATATAAATATCTAGCGGTCATGGAACAATCCGAAATAACTTACCCGAATTATCGACAGGCGTCATCAATGGAGTTTTCCTATCAGCTGACGAGACAACGGTCGCTGTCTGTACCGAGACCTCCTTCTGCCATTTGTTCGACACCCGTGCGTTCTTCGACAAGACACCCCGCCCGATCGGACCTTACTTCTCCGTCAGATTGACGTCCAGCCCGGCTGTGGTCTTGAAAGATTTCGCTTTCAATCCCGTGATACCCGATATGTTCGCCGTGGTAATGTCCGACGGGAAAGTCACGAACTACGAAGTGGCAAACGGCAATACACTCAAGATACAAGGGACCTACGCAGGCGTCAAATGCTGTGAGTAGCATGCTTTCGAATGACCTTGTAGTCTTTCAGAGTTATAAGAGCGTAAGCCCAGAACATTCACTTGCACTTGGCCGATGAATTGATCCGAGCCTCATTCTTGCAGGTTCCTGGTCACCGAAAGGAAAACAGCTCGTCGTTGCCAAAGAAGACGGTAGCTTAGTTCAGCTCAAGCCAAACTTAGTGGAGGCGAAAGTTATCCCGAAGCCAGCTCTGACGGATTTGGTAGATCCGAAACCGAAAGCCATATTTTGGGCTTCGAGCGCGGTGTTCGTGGTCGCATACTGGACCGATTGTGTTCGCGTAGTCGTAACGATTCTGAATGTGAGTGTTGATCGATCCGTCCATCGAAGCTGCCTTTGAGATATCTCCCTCCCCCTTTCGGAACCATGCTCTCAGAATCGAGGTGTAAATCTTCGTTTGATTTTCAGAAAAACGCTCCCTCGACCTACATACCTATCGACGAACCGCTCCTCCGGAATCTCGACGAGGAAGACTTTTCGCGCACCTGGTTCTGTCACGTGCCGAAATGGTAAGCTAAGATTGCATTTCCGGCGAATTCCTAATTCGAGAAGCCTCTAACTCAACCAACAGCCCGTAGTACAGCCCGCGAGCTACAGCCCGAAAATATCAATGATTTCCTGTAGGAGTCCATCTCCTCAGTGTTCTGAGACTTTGAAAGCGAGAGCTCCCTCCATGAACTCCGTCTTTTCCCCTCAGGAATATTCTTCTCATGGTTTGTCGGAACTCTCCCGATGTGGCTCTCCTCGGACACAATGAAAACTGCACTCAGTGGGTGCTTTACGACCTCGAGGGTGAACGGGCCGCCCTGCCAATCATCGGCAAGGGTGTCAGCACCTATCCTACCGGTGAGCGTGAATCTATACGTATCCACCGGGATGCTCATGGAGAATACTCTCGGAAAGAAATCTCGCTGCGATCAGAACAGGGGAGAGCCAAGTTTCAACGGAAATTTCTCCAGCCCGGTAGCTCTGCCCTTCGTGGAAGACCTTTCTCTCATTTCACAGATGCCTGCGACATTTACCTGAATACAGTCCCGAGTATTAGAGCCGCAAGGACTCGAATGCTAATGAAGACGAGGTAGCCGAATAGTTGAGGCGTAGGACCGCTAATCCGATGGGCTCTGCCCGCGTGCGTTCGAGTCCCGTCCTCGTCGAGAGATCTTGCCTGTTTTTAGTGAGATCATTGTCTCGGGCCCGGCCGATGACTGATGAGGATATATTCGCGATCTCTCCGTTAATATCCGACATAAAATACATAGATATTATATAATTCATTATTATTTATATAATAATATCCTCGGCGATGAGGCTGCTTCGTCCACTGGTCACCATGCTCATTAGTAAACGAAAACTCCTGCGACGTCGTTCGCATCTGCCCCGCTGATCGGTTTCAGAGCTGAACTGTCTGATCCATCGTCAAGCTCGGTCCGATCTGCGGATACGGAGTAAGGGACAGGGACACCCAATGAGGCTGAACGGGCTCGAATCCCAATCATACGAATTCGAAGCTCGAATATTCACTGTTTCCGTACTCACGTGTGTATGGTTTATATGATTCGTTGGCCGGATCTCTATCCAGATACTCCCCGCTATGTTTTTGAGTCGAAACGACGCGACAGTCACAAACCATTCTCGTTGTTGCGGCGCCCCGAACCACACTTAGAGCAGTCGCCAGTAACGTACCGAGGAGAAGGAGCCAGACACGCTGAAATGCGGGCAAGGTCCTGTTGAGGCGGATCTGGCTCAGCCGAATCGTGGGAGGCGAAGGCCGCTATCTGACGCCTGATGAGCGGGGCGTGCTTCGAGCAGCGTTTGGCAGATGATGAGGAACATATCATCAAGATATCTAACCATGTCTCTCGCGGAATGCTCTCTTACGTTGGAATAACCCACGGCCGAATGGCTCGGCCACCTACCTGCTGCGAGAGGAGCCTTTTAGAGGAAAAGCAACCCGATAACCCAGTCGGACATGACTTGGCAGTTTCTGATTGATGTGAGAGTGTCGAATTCTGCCTTCGCCCAAACAGCATCCTGACGTCGGAGCGGAGGCTGCGAACGGTTTGACTTGAATTCGCAGAGCCGATGACTAAGGCTTCGGTCTGTCTCATCTCCGCTGGTCCAAATGGAAAGCCCCTGGCCCTACTCAAAGCGGACAAGAGGCTCACGGTTCACACGAGTGGTCAAGCCCGGATCTCAATGATCACTCCTTGGGCTTGGCGGTTCCCTCCGAGACCCGAAAGGCCCCCTTGCTCCCTCAGCGAGAGGATCTGACCCCGAGACGTTCGATTTCGATTGACTAAAATCAGCTTGATGTGTTTTGCAGGAATCTGCGTGAATTATTCGAGCACAATAATGGTCGAGAATAAGAACAAGGGCGCCAAACCGCCGTCACCTCTGGTCCTGCTCTCAAACACGGGTGGAACCCTGACCCCGCACTATCTCATAAACGAGTCTGCCACTGAACAAATAACTTCCGCTCCTGAAGCGCAATCTACCCACGGTATGCGGAAGATGTTGAACCCTCTGTCAGTCACTCCGAAGGTTCCGACGGAGACCCCTCTTGCTGCTCCTCTGAGTAAGTCTAAAGTGAATCTCATGAAAGAGTTCGAGAAACACGAAGCTGAGCAGAAGCCACACGTCAGAAAGACGGACACGGGTACGAGTGAGTTCTGCTTTCCCTGGAAACGGTCGAATTTCGACACAATTTGCACCTCGGAATGTGCGTGATTCGTCTCGCTCGCCACGCTGAAGTCGCTGAATTTCGTGTCTGTCATCAGTCTGCGTACCACGACGTCAATATTTTCATTTCTCTGTGTTTTATGTATATGTATTTAGATTCTTGAGAGCTCTCGCATCTACAGTATCGCGACCGCTCTTCTAGGTTCGGTCCCGAAAGCGGCGCCCTTCGCTGCGTCCACGTTCTCATTCACGCCGAGCAAACCGACTGCGAACCCCTTGGCCCACAGCACGCCGGTCCCAACAACTCCTTTCTCCGGCGGGCAGAGCAAGCTCCTCCCCGCACAGGCGAACCCGAGCGCCGGAGCTCAAGCAACGTTCCCGAAATTCGCGATGCCGCTCGCAGTCAAGCCCCAAGAGGCTCCGAAAGCATCTCTGCTTCCTCAAGCTTCGAATCCTTCTGCTGCTCAACAGACGACAACGTCGATCGCCGCGCCGACAACGATCATCAAGCCGTCACCGGTGAAAGTCCTGCCGAAATTGGAGCCGGTTCCCCAAACGCCGTATGAGGATGATTCTTTGAGTCAAGAAACTCTATCGAGAGCGTTTTTCAACGAGCTCAATTCTCTCACGAAGGAGCTGAGTGAGCTCAGGATCCGCTCTTCGAAAGTTCTTGCCTGCCCAATAGGGGAAGACAGGCACCTCACTGAGATGCGCAACGAATCTAGAGAACTGCAGAACAAAATGGACGTTGTTCGCGCGGATCTGAAGGTGAGGAATTCCTTCTCAATAGTCGATTCCGCTGCTAGTGTTCCGGCGCAATTTTCATCCGGAGGAGGAAGCCGAGAGATGAGTGCTCGATATCGTCTTTCAGACCATGAAAACAGATGTACACGAGGCCCAGAAAGTTTTAATCGACGCTCTGGCTTGCGGGAGTCAGCTCAGGACGATTACGGCGGCGAAGGATTCCCGAATCAGTCGGATGGATCCCATCACCCAGGCGACCCTGAAGCAGGCCCAGGGTTTGGCGCATTATCTCGAAAGACAGCTGATAAACGCCAATAACGTTCTCGACGACGCGTACGAGAAATACAAGAACGAAAAGAACACCACGTGAGTTCACCGGCTGATGAGCGTTCTCTCAGATGGAAATCATGAGGAACTTTAACCGCGGTATTCACGTTTCCCCTCATTTTCAGGAAACGTGCTCCTACCATGGAGATGCTTTATAGGACCATCTTGAGTTGCGATAAGACGATCGAAGCGCTCCGAACGGAACTGAGGACGATGAGGGAAAAAGTCGAGGGCATCAAACGCATGCAGAGTCTTCGTGAGCGAAATAACGAGGACTTGACGTCACTCGCGGATTCTCTCCTGGCCGTTGGTATCGAGTCGAAAGATGCGAGCGTTACGCAGAAAGGTCTCACTAAGGATCAATCGTTCGAGAAGATAAAGATGCTCAAGGGCTACTTGGCGTCGCGGCCCGTGACCCAGGTCACGCCGACCAAGCTAAGCCCTCAGGGTCAATCGATGATCGTGTCGAAGTTGAGCACGATACTCGAGCAGTCTCGGATCGAGATCGACTCTGGTAAAACGCAAGCGGCGACCAATCCGAGCAGAATTCGGTCCGAGTACGGCATGCCCCGCGAATCCATCGGCGGGCTCCTAGGCTTGCGATCCAACACTGAGCAACCGGCCACGCCCGGCCAACCGTTCTCTACCGTGACTTCTACTCCGTTCGCCAAACCGGGATACGAGCCCATAAGTCCGCCGTCGGACAAGGCCGCGAATCCTTCGGCAACGTCGTTCTTCCAGAACGCGTACAAGCCCGAGCCTGCCCCTACGGCGCTCACGTTCCCGAAAACGACCCCCGAGAAAGCTGCGCAGAATTTCAAACAGTCCTTCAAATTCGATCTCCCAAAAACTCCCGAGCCCCAAGCAGCGAGTCTGTCGAAGCCAAGGGTGTCCTTCAGCTTCGCTGGGTCTTCGTCTTCACCGCAGAGCAGGGAAACAGAAGCCGAGGCCGCGTCGTCGAAACCTGCTGAGACGAAAAATGCGTCTCCCGGTTCCTTGTTCACCTTCGCGAATACGGTTCCTAAGCCCGAAACCACGGCCCCGGGAGCGAACTTCAACTTTGCGATCAAGAAAGAGTCGGCTCCCTCGAAGGACCGCTTCGAGGGATTCCAATTCGCTTCGGGGTCGGCGTTGCCGGCATTCGCTTGGGCCAAAAAAGATGGAGCTCCAACGAGCCCTTCCAAGGCCGAAGCCGTTCCCAAGACACCGCTGAGTGAGACACCGGTATCGACGCAAAGCTCCGCGAGTAGTTTCTTCAGCACTTCGTTGGCAACTAACAAGGCCCAACCTGCGGCTGTGAAGGACGCGGCCCACGATTTCTCTTTCGGCGCCGTCAAGAAGACCGATCAAGCGACCGCTGTTCCGACGTCCTCGGCTTTCAAACTTGACGGCAAGTTCACAGTCCCCTCCGATAAGCCTGCTGACGCCGTCTCTGGGGATGCGACCGGTGCCGGGGATTCGGAGGTCGAATACCCAACTGTGCCTTCAGACCCACCAGCGAGTGAGAAGCCTTCCGGGGCGTCTGCGTTCCTACCGAAGAAGCCGGGAGACAAGCTCGCATCTTCGACGCCGGAGGCACAAGCAGTTCCAGTTGCGGAGGTATCGAAGCCTTCCGCCACCTTCTCATGGAGCGGTTTTTCCGCGGGTCTCAACCTCACCAAATCCACCATCGGAGTTTCCGGGAGCGCTGGTGCGGGAGCTCTTGGGATCGCCCAGTCCCCCGACCAGGCACAGTCGAAGTCACAAGAGGAACAAGAAGCCGCCCGAGTCCCTGGGGTCCCCGCGCCTACTCCGGAATCTTCAGATGCGGAAGGGTCCTCCGGATTGACCGCGATCTCTGAAGAGGCGGCTGGGACGCCTCCCAAAATTTCTGAACCTGTCGCCGAGAAGCCTGCTGAATCTGAAGAATCTCGGGAGGCCCAAGGTGAGCGAGAATCTCTCAATCCGTCATTCAGGAGAGAGACGCCCAATACCGCGGAATCTTGATCTATTCATGGGTTATTTCAGTACCGGAATCGAAATCCACTCCTGAGACGGCGGCCGCACCGACGCCGATCACAACGTCGTTCTTCGCTGCAAATCGTCCACTAAACCTCGCGGCTCCAACATCAGGTACTGAAGTTCTCTGGGCGAAACGTTTAGATGTACTGAGACGCTTTCGAGAACACTCCCCGAGTCTCGGGGGCAGAGTTCTCAAGAATCCGCGGAATATCTAATTCTGATCCTCGCAATCAATTCCAGCAACCACGACCTCTTCCGAAGGCGGTAGTTCGCTCTTCGGGAAAGCCCCTGGCGCAGGACTGTTCGGCAAACCAGCAACTGGCGGTTTATTCGGCTCGTCTGGCTCCTCAACCTTCGGTCAAAGTGCTGGCTTCGGAGCAACCCCTGGAACATCGCTCTTCGGAGGCTCTTCCTCGGCTCCAACGACTTCTTTCTTCGGGGCCGCGTCGACCGTAGCTCCCAACGCGACCACGACAACTACGGCTCCAACGACTTCTTTCTTCGGGACCGCGTCGACCGTAGCTCCCAACGCGACCACGACAACTACGGCTGCAAAACCGTTCGGAGCTCTGGGCTCGCCTCAAGCTGCGACCGATTCCGCAACTCAGCCGGCGACGAGCACGAGCACTGCGACCACTCCGCTATTCGGTTCCACCAGTTCTTTTGGTCAGTCGTCCACTCTATTCGGATCTCAAAGCTCAGCATTCGCTCCGACAACGACGTCGGCGTTCGCGTCGACGACAGCTCCAGCCTTCGCGTCGACTACAACATCGGCCTTAGCGCCTGGAGCCTCCTCGGCATTCGCTCCGACGACGACGTCGGCGTTCGCTCCAACGACTACTCCGGCGTTCGGGTCGAACTTTGGATTCGCTGCCACCACCCCGACCACAACACCGGCCTTCGGACAAACGACGACCACGCCGGCTTTCGGACAAACGACGACCACAACACCGGCTTTCGGACAAACGACGACCACACCGGCTTTCGGGCAGACGACGACCACGACACCGGCTTTCGGGGCAGCAGCAGCCTTCGGAGCTCAGCAGAAACCTCAATCGGAGCTTTTCGGGAAATCCATGGCTTCAAACTCTGGGTAGGACCATTTTGATGATTGGAGTGTGTGAGGTCCAGACCTCTCGCGGCTCGAACATTCGCATTCGAATTCTTCGAAGATGAGAACGCTTGACATGAATTTTTCCCCAGATCGCTGTTCGGCCAGAAGAGTAGTTTCGGCGGGGCTCCCGTCGGACCTTCGCTCTTCGGCGGCAACGCTAGCCCATCCTCCGGGGGCTTCATGAGCGGCTTGGGTCAAACTGGAGCTCAGACCGCCAAGAACCCGTTCGGGGCTAGTACTTTCGGACAGAGCTCACAGTCCTCGAACCTTTTCGGTAAAGGATTTCAGATTGAGGATGGGAATAATTGGGAAATATTCGGAATATTGGGAATTCCAATAATTGGGAAATATTCGGAATATTGGGAATTCCATTAATTGGGAAATTGCTCGAGCCCTCAAAAACTATCGAGAGAGAGAGAGGATCTCAAGCCTAAATGCTGTTCCTGAACTGGAGTCTTGGAATTGATTGCAGGATCTGGGGGAGCGTCGGCCTTCGGAGCTCAACCATCATACGGAGCCAATACCAATGTGGGTAACATACCGCCCAAAGAATCACCGTTCGGCATGGGCAGCCCCACCAAGCCTACATTCGGCGGCGCGCCAACTTTCGGTAATTATTGAGACCAACAGCTGGGGGAGATTCCGTAATAGACTTCATCGGGGGTTGCCCATTCCCAGGAGATATTAGATGCGTCGACGCCCCGGCGGTTTCGGGGCTGAGATCTCAGGTCTCGAGACCAGGAACCGACTCATAGAAATTTCGAGGCGCATTCGAAGGATGACGCCGGATCAACGCTGTGGGAATCCGCTTCCCCCGTTATCGACAAGGGCTTTCGCCTTTCGGGCTTTTTGCTTCCCCTCCGACGGGGTTCTCACTTACAGTCTTTCGCTTCTAGGAGCGGGTTCTGCGGGAGGCTTCGGATCTCCGCCAACATTCGGCTCTGCCCCCGTCTTCGGATCTACGTCGGGCTTCGGCGCGACCACTCAAGCGAGCGCTTTCGGGACTGCTGCGGACACTCCTACATTTGGTTCTTTGGCTCAAAATCAGTCCCCATTCGGCTCTGCGCCCGCCGCCGGCGCTTTTGGTGCGACCCCCCAAGCTCAGGGTTTCCCTTCGTCCAATCCTACGAGTGCTGCATTCACGCAGTACCGAGGCTGATTTCCTGATGGGGCCTCCGTCGAGTAGCGACGGACATGCCTTGTTCTTTTATATAAGCTGTTGAAAAGCCTATCGAGGGCTTGTACTCCGAGTCAATGCATTTTAAAAATTCGAATAAATGTTTCCGATCTCAGGAGAGCTCCTGCCTCTTCCTAACAGAAACAGAGAGACGTCGATCGACCATAATATCGTGGAATGTCTGAAAATCTTGTCCGTGTGGCCTCTCGAGACTGACGGTCTCATGAGGTGTCAGAGAAATTTGAAAATCTCATCCTGAGTTATCATCTGAACTCTTCCGCGAGCACTTGAAGAGAAGTCCTCAGGAAATTATGGAGCGGTTGACAGCGATCCTCCGAAAGCCACTTCAATCCACCCGTCGCCCAGATCCCCCAAGCTTGGTCTCCCTACCTTTTCTCCGCTCGAACAAACCTCGCTGCAGACCCGGCCGAGCCTGCAGCAAGTCGGGGGCAGATTCCAAAGTTATGACAACCTCCTACTCCAGCCCACTCGCCCGTCTGCCTGCCGACCTGCCCATCCGCTCGCTTGGTGGCTCCAAAGATCGCTCGGGTGCTTGCTCGCTGCTAGATGCAGGTGGGAAGGCAGACGGGGAGCTCGTCGTCGCGAAAGTCGGAGAGACAAGACGCGCATTCGATGCGGAGGGGGGAACGCTAGGTGAAGCTATTGAAAAAAGCGAAGCAAGCCGACATAATCGTATGATAATACGGGTCGGACAAATTTCGCATCAAGCGTATCACTGACGCGCCAACTTGTACCCGAATATTACTTCTACAAACTCCAACGGGGCCCCTCTGCCATGTGGGCACTATCGGTTTGGATTTTGCGAGCAATGAATCGACGAGCGATTCGCAACCACTCGGATGAGCCACGATCACGAATCGATTAGCTGGTCGAATTATTGAATCCGCGAAGTTCCCTAGTTTGTGTGGCACGCCGAATTCAGTCGCTCAATTTCACCTGCAATCCGAATACATTTCGAGAACGATGGATCATCAAATGATCATCGATTCGCGAGAACTCACACGGAATTCTCGCTCGCCGACGACAATACAAGGAATAAGATGAACTTGCCGGGATTTGCACGAACCCTATCGCGTTGGGCAGCGGTGACTCCGACGGTGGGTTCGTTGTTGCGCTTGGCGCTGAGTGAGACGATGTCACGAGGCGTACGTGTGAACTTGGGTAGCGAGAGGTAAGATTTGCTCACAAAGAGAAGAAATTGAGCGGAAAAGCCGCTGTCTTCGCGAAAAACGAGAGCTCCCGCTGTTGGTCGTCGAGTGACAACCCCAAGCTCTCTTATCGCTTGCCAGACCACGACTCCTCAACGAACGCTACTCACTCGGTTAGATTCCACTCTTGGATCCAATGCGCCGAGGCTCTCGGAATCCCTTAGTTCACGGTGCTCGGTGCACCAATGAGGACGTGTAAATGAAACTCGGAGTTCAAGCCTTCGTAACAGGAAATACGTCATTTATTTTCTCTTCTATCTTCACATACAAATCTTTTGCTTGTCACTTTGCTCCTCCTGGTCTGATCACGCCAATGACGCAAACATTCCTCTTACTTCTCTTCCCTTCCTCTCGATTTTCCCCTCAAATTGCAACCCTAGGCTGATGGCTTATTGGGATATTGCTCTATGCATTGTGTGAGAATGAATCATCGAATAATCGATCTCGTGGGCAATCGAGAAGCCGACACGACTGACCGACACCATTTTCGGGTCGGTGACGAACGACGTCAAAGTGTTCCGAGCTCGAACCTGATTGCTGCAGAAAGCGGTCCGGAAATCTGGGGTTTCGCTGTCGCAGCTTGTCATTGTCGCTATCTTATGTCTTTTCTTAAATTATCGTATATTAGCATTCCGCCTCCTGCTAAGTCATTTTTCTCTGAAATTCAAATGCTTGAAACATCGTCCATGTTTCTCGCAATCGCAATACTTGAGCCAGTAGATAACAATATATACAAATTCTCGCTATATTCACAAATGCTTATGTACAATCTCCGCGGCGCTCTCTCCGGCGCAGCGTCGTTATAAGAAGTTGTTGCACTTTTGGATGAAGCAATCTCCGAGCGTCATTATTTGAACATTGCAGCTCGTCAGTGAGTTCTTCGGCAGATCGTTGATTTTCTTTCTTGTTCAGCGCATAGTTCAAGCGAACTATACGAAGAATGACTAGAACCAGTACATGTCTTTGGTGTCAGCTGTCGCTTCGAGACCTGGAAATAAGAAATCGGACGATAACTTACGGCGTGAAACAAAGACGATTTTTTCCGCGGAAGGGTGTCGCTAGGGTCAGCAGAGGATCAAGCGAGCGACACGCGCCCCATGGACTCGAGGTGAGCGTCCTCACCCTGTCCTTAGTCCTTCCTACATCGCCGTTCGCAGTCCGTTGCGATGCTCTTCGATCCTTCGGCCAACCGAGAGACCGGCCGACCGAGCGACCGTCCGCCGGTCCGGGCTCGATTGTGTTCAATTAAGGTGAGCTCGCGTGGAAAAGATTGCTTCGAGAAGCCATGAGGTAATCGCAGCGCTTTACGCCGCCGCTACAGAGAAACCTCCTCCATCTCCCGCTTGTCTTGTTCGCGTCACTCTCGGGTAACGCGGAGCCAAAGGCTTGGGTGTTCCCTCCCGTTCGTTTCGCGAACCTATGAGGTATACCTCGGACGCAGGTCCGAAAACCTACGATCAGCTCGCTTTCGCACCGCTTAGTTTCCGGGGTGACTCGCTGCGGAGCCCTCTCAGGAGACGGACTGGCGGCAGCCCACCCAATCACCCGCGATTCAGTGAGCTCGCGAATGGACACAGAACATTGAAGCAGGGGGAAAACTCCACGACGAACGGTTGTGAGCGGAGGGGAGCGCTGGGTGGAAAAGGCGCACAAGGGCAGACCAATAATCGATTGTGCTCTAATGACAGTTTTATTCGCCGTCCCATTCGTACCGATCGCAGACAGGGGAGATGTGAGGGACGTCATCTAAGCCTTCCATTGATTTCGTTGGATTCTCCCTCGTTTTTTTCCCCCTGCGATCTCTAACACACATCGTCACTGGCGTCGAATCACCAATAACCTCTCGATCCAATGAAGATCAAGTCTTCCGAAACGCTCCGACAACACGGAGCATCTGAGCGATGTGGAAAGCGAGGCCTACGAAAGCGACAACATTCTGCCGTCTCGAGGATTTCAATGGAAATAGATCTCCCGTAGCTATTCATGGCCATGCTCTTTCTCACGTTGAATCAGACGAATTTGCCGATGACAGACACGATTCATCCCTGAAAAACTAGAAGTGGCATTCGAGTCCGGATTCTCGATCGCTTGACAGTCCGCACCCGCACGGGACCGATTTGGATTTTCCCTCCCGACCGACGGGCTCTTCGAAGTCGGAATGGATTCGGATTCCACCTCAGCCCGAAAGTGAAGGGGAGCGGTATCAGCGCTGCGAAAGGACGGAGGAACGAAGGCCAAAAGAAGAGCTCGTCCGGGGAAGTGAAAATGTCCGTCTCGGTCAGCCATTCTTCTCTTGGTGGAGTCTTGCGAACAATTCGGTCTCCCCATAACAAACTCGGTCGGCATGGACGATATACGGACAGACGTGCGGACCGACGAGCGAACGAACCGGCGGACAGACTGACTCCCATTGCTTAGAGTAAGCGGGAGCCATTCAGGCTGCTGGTCCCTAGCGGCGAGTCTGCGCGCGAAAATATGAATGGTGGAAGGCGGTCCCAGCGCTCAGACGGCCGACGATTGGTCCCTTCTTATAATACGCGCACACTCGTCCGCTCTCACTCATTCCCTGACTTACAGGCACTTACAGCTAGAGCCGGGCACCTACGTATGATATATAGACAGCGGGCCACAGCCGAATAGAGTGCGCACACACAATAAATGGAATCGACTTATTAATGACAACAACATGAGGAGCTCAGCTTGCTCCATCAATTACCAACTCACTCCGGTCGACCATCCGCAAAGCCATCTACAGCATCAAGAGACTGCGAGAGCTTTCGGTCAAAACGACTTCGGACCTCATGAGCTCGCATCTTCGGAGGAATAAGCCGCGGTTAGAGGCCCAGGCCTCCCGCCCCTTTGTCCCTCTCCGACCCCCCGAGAGGAACGGTAGCGAGATCGAACGGTCTGACGAACACAATCAGCTTCACGGCTCCTCGAGTTCCGACGCTCAGCTCATTCGGCATTGGGAAATCGAATACGGAAGGACGAACGGCCCCGTGTTCGGATCAATCAGGGATCCCAGACCGTAAATCCTATATAATACACATATCCCTAAGTAAATACGCCCCGTGGGGAGAACTCAATTACCCGTCATGGCGGCACTCATGGGATGCGCGTAGTTGCTTGGATAGGGTTCTTGGATGGCCACAGGATGGCCGCTCATGTTGATGTTCATTTGAATTTGTTCGTGGTACCGGGCGACTGATTGTCCCCAAGTATCCATTACTTTTTCGTTGACGCCGAGGACTGCGGCCGAGCAAGATGCGCGCTGTTGTTGATTCCCGAGATTCAGCAATGAGTTGTACTGAAAACAGAACGGAGCTCTTATGGTGAGGACGCGTAGCCCGGACCCGCCAGTGAATAATATCAGCGGTGGACGAGGGTCATCGGACCGATTATGATTACCATCTTCATTCGAACTACCTGAGGGGGTTCTTCTGCGGTCAAATATGTGAGCTCTGGGCTCGCCGGGGGATCGTTCGGGGACTTCGGGGACTTCGGGGACTCCGGGAAGGGTTCCTTGCTCACCTGGTGTTGAGCGAATTGATGCCGATTGGCAGCTACGGCGTACGTTTGCAGATCCTGTGGACTCAAATGAGCCGCCCGATATCCGTGGACGTAATGGGACCAAGACTCATAATCATTCGAGCTGGGCGTCGGTGGAGGAGGGTAGAAGTCCGTCAGTGACTGATTCGATGACGTCGAGGGAAGCGGCAAGTACGACGGAGACGGATGTCCGCTGTGCGACGCCAAATGGGATGGCGATGGTCCGTTCATCTGGGAAGGCGACGCTCGGATTTGAGGACTGGCCTGGGACGGACCAGCCTGTGGGTAGGATGACGTAGATGAGGGCGATGGCGGATAGGAGCCAGAAGAGGCTGCCACTGATTGAGGATTCGGAGGACAGAAAAAGCTCTGCGGTAGATTTCGTTGCGAGAGTGGCTTCGAATCTGGAAGGCGGGAAAACTCGTTAGCAGGTATGTTCTTCCAAAGCGAAGACGTTGTGCTCGAGATGCCCACGGGCGGATCGAGCGACTCTATTCGAGCCAACGAGAAAATTACAGCAACAGCTGTTGATGTTGAGGGCATTAAAAATAACGAGCGGCACCCGCGAGCCCACTCTTGCACTTGGCTCCGATGTCGTTGCTCTTGATGCTCAACAAGCTCGACAGCAATAGGTGCGGCTTCGCGCTGGTTAACAAACTGAATCCGGTGATCAACAACCTGACAGGCAGCTGCGCTCCATTGAATCCGTAATGACCCTTTTCTCCTTTTCCCCACCAAAAGTGAAGCAGAGCGACATTAGCTGAGTTTTTGACGTGAAACGTCTTTAAAAAGGTTGGCCTAGTATTTCACCAAAAGTGTGACGAAACGAAATATGATATTTTCCGCTCAGAAGAAGATATTTTCCACTCAGAAGAAGATATTTTCCCAACTTCGGTGAAGAGTTCGACTTCACCAGTGATAATGAGACCTAAAAGTACGAGCTGAGTTTAAAGGGATAATGACGATGCTCGAGTCTTACGAATGGCCATTCCGAAGACGTTTCACGTCCTCCACACGGTAGTGGCTCTGCTGCTACCTCTGAATTTTCTCTCTGACGCGGCTCGAATGGAGGAAATATTATTGAAATAAATGCATTCGGATCGCTCGATTTGAGGTTCATCCAATTCCTCCGACCGTGATTCCCTCTAGCCTGCCGGATGATCTCGCTCCTTCGAACTCCATTTTGCGGATATTATTAACTTTTCACTGATCTCTGACCTCAGCCGGCCTGTTCTCTGATATGTGCACTGGATCTATATTAAGCATAGAGCCTCTTTGTCTACGAGACCGAGTCGGCGATCTCCTGTAGACTCGCCGCTCTGACACTAAGACCCCATTAGCACCGCTCTATTGTGGACAAACACAGGCCCACAATCCTCATGTGGACTCTTCGACCTTCATTGATATCGAATAATTGTTTCGACATTTCGCTGAATTAGGGCAAAAGTCGACACCGGCCAACACCGAAAACTGTCACATCGTTTGGTTCTAATGAAAACTTCTCCGAGCCACAGAGAGTTGTCAACTTCCTGACTTAATCGCCGCGGGAAATCGTGTGTGTTTTCCTTCGGCTCAGAGATCGCACAAGCCGCTGGTCCGGAGAGGATTATCCACAGTGAGAAGGAGAGAATGTGAAGAAGTGCGAGGAGCGGAGCAGACTCAATAGTCCATCAAACAACGTTGAGCCCTGAGTCGCGTGCACGGAGGAGCTATCATCTCGCTCCGAGCAACACCGCACACCCATTTATTGATATGACTTGCAAATAGGCCGCCCAGTAAATTCGGCTCCGAAACGGCTTGCGGTCAAGGCAGCGCCTGGGAAACTCGTGACTCAATCATTTAGAACCCCTTCTCTTTGGGGAGGATTAATCCACGGATGACGCGTGCCGGTTCATGTCGTATTCGAGGTCACTCCAGCGAGACATTCGACACAAGACTGCGAGAGTTGGTCCTCGGAGGAAGGAGGAAGATATCAAGACTCGGCGATGTTTCTAAAAAAATCAAGGGTTCTCGGTCCCTGGGCGATCGTTTCTCTTGATTTTTCCGTCGATGGAGTTGCATCCATATCGAGATATCATCAGGCTGGATGAACCACCGTACGCGGGTGAGTATGGGGCTCTCCCGACGGAAAATAGCCGCGGACCTGAACCATCTTCATCTGGTGCGCATCATCCTATTCATCGTCAGCTCATTGTGCTCACCCCAGCATGCGCACGCCTCTATATTAATTCGCGCACCGCGACTCATTGCGTTAACTTATTGCAGACACACGTGTCCCCGACCCGTGGGCTCCCGGCCAGCACCACAAGGGTCTATCCGCGGCTATCCACCTCGGGCTTTCTCCCTTATCCTCCACTATCAAATATGAGACGTTCAAGAACACTTGAGCCCACTTTGCCCAGACGCCGACGTATCATTTCTCGAGGATCTCAGAGCCGGATGGAAGATGGAAGCTCAGTGACTTATTTTGACGACGAGCATCCTGGCGTATGAAGAAAGCGGAGGAACACAAAATTCGAGAAGTCAGCGAAACGAGTCCACCGCGAATGTCGCCGCTGCCTGAGGAGCTCCAGAGAGCGAAGAGAGAATTCGTCCTCAGCGAATTGGATTAGGAGCATAAACAAAAATAAATTAAGTTCTAATCCTCGTATAAGCCGCATTCTGAGCGGGGTAAGGATTGGGAGTTGGACACAGGAAGGAAAACGAGTCTCTATCATTCGATCCGGTGAGAGTGGACTAGCTACCAGAGTCCAAACCCATGGTTGCATCGGGTTTCCCCGTTCGGATAACCGCCTATTGCCGCGAATTCGAACGACCCACTTTGGAGATCCTCCAGAAGTCGTGAAGCTCAAGATCACCTCGTTGAAGCTGAAGCCTTCCTTAGAGGAAAATCAGCCCGAAACCTTGCTGATCCATTCCGTGCAACTGTGCTAATGGTTCTCACCGCTACCTAATCCAATGGCATTTGCATGTGTTGCTCTACCTTGCCAGCACGCCTCACTCGCTGTCTCCGAACACAGAAACATGAGTGATGCAGTGAAGTGGATTATTTCGAATCGCAGCGAGTGTTCTCGCCCGTCGTCGTGATAGGATTCGATCCTCGGTGTATCTCGCTGAGCGACACGCGCCTGACAGTCGAGCAGACACACTTCCTCGGTGATCGAGAGGAGGAGTTCGAATGATTATTATCGTCATGGGGGCTGCTGTCATTCTCCTCGTCATTGTCGTTGTCGTGTTCCTAATATGGCAATAATTCGCTCTTTGATCTTTGGGGCGTTGTAATATGTCTAAAGCCTCGGCTCACTCAGCTCGGGCCACTTGAGCAAACCATCGGCACGCCCAAGCAACGGTAAACGATGAGAGATCTCATTCCGGAGCCGGAGAAGAAGTCTCGACGGAAGACGTTTCAATGACTTCACTTTTTCACAGACACTGCAGAAAATTCGAAAAATCGCAGGTCCCAATCGGCCGCTCGAATGGGTTTTCTCATTCTCTGCTTGAAAACTCGAGCGGAGCCAATCCATGGAAGGGTAAACCCTCAGACGGCGGAGGAGCCGTTGATTCCTGGACTACCTGTGTGTGTAAGTTTTTTTGTTTCAATGATTCGTACAAGCATTGCAAACGGATCCTAGCGCATGACGAATCAGGCTTTGAATGATCCGAGCTGGGGCGGACTCGAGGGTCGAAGAGACTGTTGACTCGAAACCGTTAAAAACACACCGTCACACATGTATGCTTTTAAGCAGGGCGACGAGCAAGGATTGCGAGTCCGCGATTGCAACCAGCCCTGAAAGCGAGTCGTCTCCGACTTTCTGCCAGCCTGAGCTGGGGCTCGATTCATTGTTTGTATGGGGATCGTCGGATTTCCGAATCTTCCAATCGGGGTCCCGTAAGTGAATCGGACATCCGCCCGCATGAGGTAATCTGATTCTGAGGAATGTCGCTGGACACCCATGAAAAAGTTGTAAAAAAAACCATGATCCTCCAGAGGGGTTTACGAGTGAGCGCGGAATCGTCTCGATAAACTTCCACTGAGCTTCCCCTAGGAGAGATCAGGACACGAGTCTTGGCAGAGAAGCGGAATCGATGTTCACAGCGCAAGCCTTCATCGTCTAGGAGCGGCTACAAGGGAGGAAAACGATCGGCCCCGCCGATGGCGAATGAGCGAGAGATCAATATTTCCCCTGCGAGACAGCCCACCCCGGGCTTTCAATCTCCCCTCTCCATTCGATGCTGGATCATACCCGTTTCCAGGGTGACGATGGAGGGCTCACATCGAGCGATTGTATAACGAGTCTCCCTCCTCTGCTAGCGTCGTGGACTTCTCGCATAAGGAAGAAGCAATCATGTTCCTTGTGTCTATGGACCAAAAGGGATCTGCGATGCCTGCTTTCCCGGATCGTCGGTGATCTCGATGAATTGGTTCCGCGCGGCTCTGGGATCAGTGAACAGAGCGGGAAAAAGAGGAGTGGGGAGTTCGCGAGACATGGCACGATTCTATTTCAAGTTGAATGTTCGTTTGGTTTAGACGTCCGTCAACGATGGTCGGTATAGTGACAGCATGAGAGAATGAAAAAAAATCGGCAAGAGTGAGAACTGCCTACACCACTGAGCGGAGGGAGAAGGAACCGAGCTGGTTTTTTGACGAACTATGCCACGAGCAATGATCGAGCTTGGCGAGGTTTGTGATCGTGAACTAGAAGGAGAACAAGTCATCGGCGAGACGGCGATGACCTCCAATAATTTCTGATTACGATGAATTTCGCGATTTGACGCGCTGTTCCAAGAATTCCATATTCAGTGCCTTCTCGGGAACAATCGACACGCGGCTGGAGATCAACAGGCACCGATTCAGGAAAAAAAAAGGCGTCGCGATCAAATGTCCCTTCAAGTGTCGGAAGAAGAAGTCGAGGCGATTCCCGAGCAAAGGTAGGTGAGCCGAAAAGCACACTCTGTTTCGGTTTCGTTCTTGACAGTTCGATGTCTCTGACTGTTCGTTTGAGTGAGGATTGTCACATCATCGGCTGACACAACAACATTGACACGCATCCCCGGCTGGTTGAGCAGCCGTTTAACGAACTAAACAGTTCGTCGTGTGCTTTCCCAAGGAGAGGATGGAAAAGCTCCGCTCTGCGCTCATGGTGGGACTGAGTGCGGCAGAAAGTCGGAGACAAGGATTCGAGCCGGCTTTCTGTTGGAACCAGCTTCCGACACGAAGAGGTTTCCAGCCGGGTAGAGCGGGGTCAATAACGGAAATATCTCATGAGAAATGTCATATCCCCGACTCACAATAGCGGAAGAGACAAACTAACCGATCCAGCCGGCGATTTCTATCGGCGCATCCAGTCACTGCGTCTAGCAGCTATTCTGCTTTTCATAGCCATCTACCACTAGTCACACCTTGGCCGGAGCTCATCTGACTCTCGTAGAGGGAGAGAGACAGCGGGCGAAGCATTCCGAGGTCTAATGGAAATGCGCGTTCTTATGGGCGCCCTTCTCATTCCCCCCTTCTTACATGGGCTAAGGAAAAACGTTAAGAACGTGGAAGAGGAGTTGACGTTTTCCCACTTGAGAGCGCTCCTTGAATAAGAGCATCAACTCGAGAATCTTCCGGGAACGTGCTACCTCTCACCCCATCGGTCTCACATAGTCCATCACAGAGACGTTGTTACCCCTTGATTGAGCGAGCCACTGTAAGGTTTTGGAAAAATGTATTTTTTCCAACCTCATACTCCCATGGAGAGCTGCTCTGTCAATTGATGATTGAAAATATGCTCGTTCTCGAGCGAGCGCTCATTGCCTTTGGGGTGGCCATCCGAGGTAAAAACAGAAGCTACCATTGTTCAGAGTCCGTGCTTTTCGGAAGAGCAGCTCTTCTCCGCCTAGTGTAAGTGAAGCGTCTCGAACATTCCGGCCGTAGTTGTCGTCGTAAGCTACGTTACTTTCAATGAAGCATTGGGCGCAGAGAGAAACCCACGACGACTGAACATTACAATGATTCCTATCCCTTGTTGGGCACGTGGCTCGTCTCTGCTGACTCCTTTTCAGAAAGAGCACAAGAGAAACAGGGCTGCACAAAAGACTCTGACAACTAGGTAGAACCCCTTCTGTGGGCCTTCCGCTCTGGGGATACTCTGACAGGCTGTTGCGGTGCCGGTCGGAGCGCCAGAAACCGGATTCATCGCGGTGTTGGAACATGTGGAACTTTCCTCTTAATTGACCCGGGCGACAGAAGTGTGCCCGACGACTGCCTGCGTGCCCAGGTCTCTTCCGGAAGAACACGAAAAGCTTTAATCGCAGACTAATGATGTGTGGTGAGCGACTCCCGAGCGTCGGCGTCGAGGCGACAAGGTTTCGGCAGACGGCTAATGTGAATGGGCATCACGCTATTCACCCATGCATTTCCCAAATTACGCTCCCCCATCCCCTCCTATATTCGAGTTGTCAAACTGCGCTCGCGCTATTCGCAACGCTCCTTGAGCCCGACATTGGCCAAGGGACCGAATTCGGGCCGATTTCTCGAAATCCCGATTGGAACCACCGACCACGAAGGAAGTTGGGCTTGTGAATTCACTCCTTCGTTCGCTCTTAGACTTTTCAACGTGACTGGCGCCCCCCATCCACATCACAATAGATGAGACGGATAGGTGATCAGTGTCAAGCTTGTGGAGGTAAAAACTAAGTGAATAACTGTGGCCATCAATTGTGTCGACCTGCACGCCATCCCGACTGCCTCGTCCCGTTCGTAGTCTCCGAAGGAGATTTATTTTGACAACTTCCTCTCAATGATCTCGTGCGGTCGTCGTTATCTCTCGACGACACACCTTCGCGGCGATTCATCTCCGAGAGCACTCTCTCAGCTCGACGGTCGACGGAGGGAGTGCTTCCTGCTCAATCATAATCTTCATTTGTCTTGTCCTCATTAATATCGGTTCGGCTCGAGGGATCGGACCTGACCACCGGTTTTGTTTTCTTCATCGGTTTTTCCAAATCGCGCTCGCTTCTCCATCAGTGTTCGGCTCGGATCTCTTCCGTCTTGTATTGATCCACGCGATAGCTCAGTTGGCTTATCCCAATCGATCTCGAACAAGAATCTCGACGATGACGAGCACGATGTTATCGCGTGGCTTCGAAGATGAGAACGTTGAATAATAGTTCCGGACCTGAAGCAGGTCCTCTGGGAACAGTTCCTGTCCTTGTCCCGCTCGGCTCGGATCGTGATAAGAATCGCAGTGCATTAATGATGCGAGTCAAAATAAGTGATCTTCTCCGCTTGTTAATGGCGATTTTACGACGACGCCTTTTTTCTAATTGCATTTAAAGTCGATATAATCTTAAAAATTTGCCGGAGAAAGATGCAGACGAACTGGGTCAGGCCCGGGAATAGCCTTCGTGGAGCTGAACTCCTCCGGAGGTTTGATTCGAATCTCTGTCAGCGGTACTCCCGAATCATTGTTCTGTGACCGGGGATCAGATATTATTGTCGTGTCTATGGAATACCAATACCGAATGCTGGGTATTCCTCGCCCGCTAGAAATCGGGATTCAGCTCGGAGAAGGAGGACAATGACAGGTCGTTGAATGGCGACGACATCTTAAGGGTTCGAGGGTGAAGGGCTTGAAGCGAAGTTAAGTTGCGGCCGTCGAGGTCTCATTTCGGTGCGAGAGGTTAATCGAGCAGAAAACTTAGTCGTTGATGAACCTCTCACGAGTGAATCTGCTTGCGAGACATTTCACTCGTCGCTGTTCGAAGCGGAATCTGAATCGACCGTAGTCCTAAGTCCCTGTATTCAGCCAGATATTCCTTTTTGCTGCTTTATCCCGAGGAGGTGTTTGATACGATCGAGGAACCGTGTCTGTCAAACCGAGCCCTAGACCCGCCCCGATCAGAGATCGGGGCCGAATCCTCCCGTTCCGGACGCTTCTCCGCTTGGAAAGATCGGCGAACTCAGCTGGAACAGGAAGCGATTGCTTTCCAGTTTAGGTGAACCCAGCGGGGAAGAGCTTTCTCCGAGGCAAAAAGAGAATTATACAGAGATCGGAGCCCAAGTGGATTCAACGAGCTGAGACGACGGATCACTCGCGCCACCCACGAGGCTCGTTCAGAATCAGATTGAACTGTCAAGCAAGCCGACAAACGGGAGGATGAACGACTACAGTTTCTCGATTGCAAAAAGAGCTGTCTCCAGCAGCTCTCAGAAGGGAACTCGGGAACTCGGCGGGAACTCATTCGGAATAATCTCTACTTACCCATCGTATCGTCGTCACTTCTTCGACTAGGTCCGCCGAATCCGGCTTGAGCCAGAGCTTTCTGAAAGTGGTCGTCTAGAACTGACGCCACGTCGGTCTTGTAGTACTTTATCACGACACATTTCGGTGACACATAAGTCGCTTCACCAACGTCATCTTTGCTTTCTAGAACTTCAGGCGACGGAGAGCAAACCGCCGTCGACGTTGAAGGGAGATCGATTGGCGCAATCGTGGGAGAACTTGTCCCCGGAGAAATAAGTCCATGTGGTGGCGATGGCGAGCTGTAATTCTCCTTCAACGCCGGAGGGCTGCTGAACTTCTCGAAGTGCAGATTCTCAGGCTGAAACCAGAAACGAATGAATCAGAAAACATTCGAATCGTGCTGATGCTTCCAGTCACCCACCAGCCTCCTTCATGTCATGAATTGCGCCCCGTTCACGCGAGTATCGGCGGTTTCCAGGATCACGTTTGATTCCAAATTATTCGTCCGGGAAGCGTCGTCGTGGGAACTCACCTTCTGCTCCACGAAAGCCGACGGAGGCACGAAGTCCTGTGGACTCGAGGGACCCGCGATGAAGTAGCCACCGCTTGTTGGTGGCGGATTTGGCGCGGCACTGCTCGGGGGCCGTTGATAGCCGAAATAGGCGGCCGAATAAGGAGCGTATATCACATCCA